CGTGTGTGGTTTCCATTCTCCAGATTTCCTATAAAAAATAAATACGCCGCCAGCTTGAGGCTGCCTTTGCTGCTCCTGCGGCACAACCCATCGTTGATTTGCTTTGCCACGTCCTGCTTTGTACAAAAAAAAATAAAATAAAGATCCCCCATTAAAAAAAAAGTGAATGGACAGAATTGAGGAGAGAATTTAGGGCTGAAATTCCCAAATTTCAGCTCCCACCAAGGAAGCACTGAGGTGATTTAGGGGCTGGGAATTTTGGGGAATTTTGGGGTGGCTCTAGGGCAGACGTTGACGTGTCTGGGGTGGGGAAACGCCGAAATTCGGAGCTTGGGCCGGAGGGGCTGCGTTGTTTTCATTCCCCTCTCTCGGGGAAATCGGGCCTGATTGGGATTTTACTGGAATTCAGAATTAATCAAGAGCAGCTTCACAAAGTTTGGGATGTTGCTTGGAGCGAGGACGTCGTAAGTTCCTGAAACTCAGAGGTCAGCTGATGTCATCCATTTAATTAATTTTCCAGTAAATTTCTTTTTTTTTTTTTAATCCAAATCCCTCAAGTTTCACGTTTTACCAATTAACCCAACCCACATTAATTGTCATTAACTCTCCTCTGCGCACAATGCCTTTTGTTTGAACTTCCTCCCACGCTCCCATCCAGAGCTGCAAAACCTTGGCCTCGCAGTTTGATCCCAGGGCTTGAGCTCAGCTTTTCTTTAGGCTGGGTTTGCAAACCGCAAAAATAATCCCGAAATCATCCCAAAATGGTCGCCGCCGTCAGCTCTGCTTCATTTGCATATCGCGGTTAATTATCCCCAGCCCATCCTTGTTTTTTTCTCTTCTTGTTTGTGCTCTTGGGTTGAGATTTGGATCATTTCCTGGAAATTGAATTGTTTTGTCTCCCTGCGGAATTGTTTTGTCTTCCTGCACCTTCTCAGACAAGGAAAATCCTTCTTCCTGCAAGGAAAAATTCTGCTTTTCCTCCAAGGAAAATCCTGCTTTTCCTCCAAGGAAATCCTGACTTTCCTGGGATTTTTCTCCAAGGAAAATCCTGCTTTTCCTCCAAGGAAATCCTGACTTTCCTGGGATTTTTCTCCAAGGAAAATCCTGCTTTTCCTCCAAGGAAATCCTGACTTTCCTGGGATTTTTCTCCAAGGAAAATCCTGCTTTTCCTCCAAGGAAATCCTGCTTTTCCTGGGTTTTCCTCCAAGGAAATCCTTCCTTTCCTGGATTTCTCTGGCTCTGCTGGCTTTGTTCCTCCAGGTCCCTCCAAACCCGTTCCTTGATCCCTTTTCTTCTCCAAGGACCAACCCCGGGTGACAAAAAACGCTTCTCATGAAGCCCAAAGGATCCACGAGAGCCACAAATTCATCGTAATTTTGATTTTTGACGACAAACCTGGAATAAACGATGAATTTTGGAACAGTTCCCAACGAACGCCGACATTCCTGTGCTCGTACCGTGGGGTTCTGGGGTGGCTTGGGTTGGAAGGACCCGCAGGACGATCCCATTCCGAGGGCAGGGACACCTTCCACCAGCCCACGCCTCGGAGAAAACCTGGAATTCCTCACTGGATGGCTTGAGGGATGATCTGGAGCCAGGGAAGTGCCCGAGCTGTCCCGTGTCATGGAAAGCCATGGAAGCGTTTCCACCTTCTCCTCCCAGGTGGTTCCTGAAGTTCTCCGGCTTTGAGGAGTCCCCTCGGCAAGGAGCTGCTGCCTGCTGGGAAGGTTCCTCCAGGGAAGGTTCTCCACACCAGGAGAGCAAGGAGGACTTGGAAAAAGCTGGAATTCTGGGAGAACACCTCCCACCACTCCAGGTTGGAATTCCACACCAGGAGAGCAAGGAGGACTTGGAAAAAGCCAGAATTCTGGGATGCAGCAGCTCTGAAGACCTCCCGCCACTCTAGGTTGGAATTCCACCTTCTCCTCCACACCAGGAGAGCAAGGAGGACTTGGAAAAAGCCGGAATTCTGGGATGCAGCAGCGCTGAACCCTTTTCTTCTGGAAAACCTTTTCTTCTGGAGCTCATCTCCAGCTGGAGTGGTTGGAAGCAGGAGCTCCAGGTGGTCTGAAAAGCAGGAATTGGAGAATCCAGGTTAAGGAGAACCCATCCAGGTTCCTCAAGTGTTTTCTCCTCCTTTCCCTCTGGATCTCAGCTCCATCTGGAGCACCTGGAATGGAGAATCCATCCATGTTCCTTAGATGTTTTCTGCTCCTTTCCCTCTGGATCTCAGCTCCATCTGGAGTGGTTGGAAGCAGGAGCTCCATGATGGTCTGAAAAGCAGGAATTGGAGAATCCATCCAGGTTCTTGAAGTGTTTTCTCCTCCTTTTCCTCTGGATCTCAGCTGGTTATGGAGCACCTGGAACAGGAGAATCCACCCATGTTCCTTAGATGTTTTCTCCTCCTTTCCCTGTGGATCTCAGCTGGATCTGGAGCACCTGGAATGGAGAATCCCGCCGTGTTCCTTAGGGGCTGTTCCAGGGCAACGTTGGAGCCGGCGCCGCCTCCTCTGCCCATCCCCGAAGATGGTTTTAATGAGAACTAACGGCCTTTTTCCAATTAGCAGGGAAGAACTGGATTCAGCTCCTGCCTTCTGTCAACCCGCTGGGATTTGATTAGGGACGAAGAAATGGATTTCTCCGTCAGGGTCACTTCGTTAGGGCTCCTCGGTGACGCTTCGCAGAGGGGCGGCGCTTTTCGGGTGAAATCCCAGGAAAATTGGGATGGATTGCTGGGAACGCCCCTTCCGAAGGATGCCAGGGTGGCACTGCCCCATTCCTGGAGGAACCTTGGGTGATCCCTCCAATCCTCCACCCCAAGGAGGAATTTCCTTCCCGAGTGGACACCAGGGCTGGGTTTGGGAATTCTGCTGAACATCCCGTGGTTTCCAGCATCGCCTGTTACACAACACAAGTGATTTTTAAAAATAATCTGCCTAATTAACCTGATGGGACGCTTGATTGGATCTGTCAGGTAAATGATCCACGGCTTCTTTTTTGGAGCTTAATTAAATATTTCCCTCCGAGTGTCTCGTGCTGTTAACGCGTTATCTGGTAGGGAGAGAATGGAAATCCTGATTGGGGGAAAGAATGAAAATTTGTGGAATGTTGGAAAAGCCCCGGAACCTTCTCGGGAATTCTGGGAATGAGAATGGGTGAGAACCGCAGGAGTTCTGTCCTGCCCAGGTGTCCGTCAGTCCTCGTGCTGGACACTTGGGAGATGTGGAGGAATTCTGCTGGAATTGTGCGGGAATTGAGCGGGAATTCTGCAGGAATTGTGCTGGAATTCTGCTGGAATTGTGCGGGAATTGTGCGGGAATTGAGCGGGAATTCTGCAGGAATTGTGCTGGAATTCTGCAGGAATTCTGCAGGAATTGTGCTGGAATTGTGCAGGAATTCTGCAGGAATTGTGCAGGAATTCTGCTGGAATTGAGCAGGAATTTTTGCTGGAATTGTGCTGGAATTTTTGCAGGAATTGTGCAGGAATTGTCCAGGAATTGTGCAGGAATTGTGCTGGAATTGTGCAGGAATTCTGCTGGAATTGTGCTGGAATTGTGCTGGAATTGTGCAGGAATTTTTGCAGGAATTTTTGCTGGAATTTTGCAGGAATTTTGCTGGAATTGTGCTGGAATTGTTCAGGAATTGTGCTGGAATTGTGCCGGAATTTTTGCAGGAATTGTGCTGGAATTCTGCTGGAATTGTGCGGGAATTGTGCGGGAATTGAGCGGGAATTCTGCAGGAATTGTGCTGGAATTGTGCAGGAATTCTGCTTTTTGCAGGCAGGAATTCTGCTGGAATTGAGCAGGAATTTTTGCTGGAATTGTGCTGGAATTTTTGCAGGAATTGTGCAGGAATTGTCCAGGAATTGTGCAGGAATTGTGCTGGAATTGTGCAGGAATTCTGCTGGAATTGTGCTGGAATTCTGCAGGAATTCTGCAGGAATTTTGCAGGAATTTTTGTGTTCAGGAATTGTGCTGGAATTGTGCCGGAATTTTTGCAGGAATTCTGCCGGAATTGTGCTGGAATTGTGCTGGAATTGTGCTGGAATTTTTGCAGGAATTCTGCTGGAATTTTTGCAGGAATTGTGCTGGAATTCTGCAGGAATTGTGCTGGAATTTTTTCAGGATTTTTTGCTGGAATTGTGCTGGAATTTTTGCTGGAATTGTGCAGGAATTTTTGCAGGAATTGTGCTGGAATTGTGCAGGAATTGTGCTGGAATTGTGCAGGAATTGTGCTGGAATTCTGCAGGAATTCTGCAGGAATTTTGCAGGAATTTTTGCAGGAATTGTGCTGGAATTGTGCTGGAATTTTTGCTGGAATTGTGCTGGAATTTTTGCTGGAATTGTGCAGGAATTTTTGCTGTTATTCTGCAGGAATTTTTTCAGGAATTGTTCAGGAATTGTGCTGGAATTTTGCTGGAATTGTGTTGGAATTCTGCAGGAATTTTGCTGGAATTCTGCAGGAATTGTGCTGGAATTTTGCTGGAATTCTGCAGGAATTTTGCTGGAATTCTGCAGGAATTTTGCTGGAATTCTGCAGGAATTGTGCTGGAATTTTTTCAGGAATTTTTGCTGGAATTGTGCTGGAATTTTTGCTGGAATTGTGCAGGAATTTTTGCTTGATCGGATCGGTCGGGTAAATGATCCACGGCTTCTTTTTTTTTTTCCCTGGAGCTTAATTAAATATTTACCTCCGAGTGTCTCGTGCTGTTAACGCGTTCATCTGCAGGAATTCTTGCAGGAATTTCTGCAGGAATTTTTACTGGAATTCTGCAGGAATTTTTGCAGGAATTCTTCTCCACATTCCTCGTGTCCCGCCCCCTTCCCGCCGTGAATTCCAATGCGTTCACTTCACCCGCCAGGGCCAGGAGCCTCTCCCCGGCCGCGTCCCCTCACACCTCTCCCTAATTAACTCCGCCGCGAGATTAATGTGCCGCGTCAATTTCCCCGCGAAGGGCGGGACGGATTTCCGCGAAGCCTAAAGAACTTTTTTGTCCCCAGATGTAGAAGACAGACCTAGCTCAGGGTCCTGGGGGAACGCAGGACATCCGAGCCCATCCCGGGTAAGTGGAATTCCATCTTTATCCCCCCGCCACGCTGGAGACGTGCGGAAAAGCTCTGGAGGAACGCGCGTTCTCCTCAAAATGGCTCCTTTGAGCATTTCCATTTTCTCCCGTCCAACCCGAAGCAGTCCATGATTTCTGTGCATATTAATGAGCTCATCACTGACGGGGTCATGGTTCATCCCCAATGTTTCGCTCTCTGCCCCTGGAGTTTTAGGGATTTTTGGGGATGGAAGGTGAGGCCCAGCCCCATCCGTGCCCACCCCCATGACACCAGGATTGGCGCCGGAGCGGCCACCTGGCTGCGATTTGGGCCGTTTTGGCACATCCCATCTGCTCCAGGCCGGAATTCCCGGGGGGGAAATGCGGGATCTGGGAGCCAGCTGGGCCCAGTCACTCCGATTGCTCCTGTGGACAGTTATCCACATTTTTCTGACACCTCGGGATGGGGATGCCTTGGTGGGAAGAGCAGCTTTTGCAGCAGCACGGCTGCATCCTCCCAGCCCGACTGGAGCACCCCTTTCCCCGCTCCTAAAACCAAAAAATTTCCTTATTTACATTTATTTCAATTGCTTCTTAATCGTTCCCCAATTAACTCGGGGCTCCGGCTCCCAGCACCCCTTTCTTTGCTCCTAAAACCAAAAAATTTCCTTATTTACATTTATTTCAATTATTTCCTAATAATTTCCCAGTTAACTTGGGGCTCCGGCTCCCAGCCCGACTGGAGCACCCCTTTCTTTGCTCCTAAAACCAAAAAATTTCCTTATTTAAATTTATTTCAATTATTTCTTAATAATTTCCCAATTAACTCGGGGCTCCGGCTCCCAGCACCCCTTTCCCCGCTCTTAAAACCAAAAAATTTCTTTATTTAAATTTATTTCAATTATTTCTTAATAATTTCCCAGTTAACTTGGGGCTCCGGCTCCCAGCCCGACTGGAGCACCCCTTTCTTTGCTCCTAAAACCAAAAAATTTCCTTATTTAAATTTATTTCAATTACTTCTTCATTGATCCCCAATTCACTTGGGACTCCGGCTCCCAGCACCCCTTTCCCCGCTCCTAAAACCAAAAAATGCCTTCCTTATTTAAATTTATTTCAATTATTTCTTAATAATTTCCCAATTCACTTGGGATTCCGGCAGCTCCCGGCTCTGGAACAGCGAGGAAGAGCGGGATCTTCATCCCCTCCTCACCCTCACCGCCTGCAGGAAGGAATCCCGGTCACTTTTCTTCTTTGCGTCCCTGACGTCATCCCCGCTCCCATCTGTCACTTTGATTTTCCTGCCCCTTTTTTTCCCCCCTTGACACTTGTATTGCTTCCGAGGGAAAAATGTTTTGAAAAGGAAACGGGGAATTGGCCCACACCGATTATTTCTGCCTCCAAAGCCCTGAATGAAGCGGGGGGGATGGAAAGAAAAGGAGCACGAGCCCGCCGAAGGATTCGGGAATTTGAATCGGGGCCGGGCATTAAGTGGCGGAATTATTCCGCAAACAGCCTGACCTCGCTTTTTCCTGCTGGAATGGAATTCCCACAGCGGGAGACCTCCTTCCTCCACGGGCTTTAAACAGGAGACCCTTCCCCAGAGGGTTTTGAGCCGATTTGGGATTTCGGGAACCTCATCCCAAACCTCCAGGGTTCAGGATTCTCATTGGGAACTAAAACCACCAAAAACTCCCTGGAATGTTTCATTCCAGCCAATCAGCAGGAAAAAAAACCCCAAGGGAGTGATGTTTCTTAGTGAGCAGGGAGCTCTGGGCTTTTGGCTGTTCCGAGGTGTAAAATTGTGTTTTTTCTTGCCAGAACTATGGAGATGGGACTCACTACGACCACGTGGCGGGCAGAGACCTCGGCTCACACGACAATCTCTCTCCTCCCTTTGTCAATTCCAGAATACAAAGTAAGAACACGGAATTTCCTCCCTCGTCGGGGTGGGGGAAGTGGGACCAAATAAAATCCGGGGGCCTTCAAGCCCTCGTCCTTGTTTTTTGGGGAAACATGGATTTGTTTCAATTTTCCGGTTTTTTATGGTGTGAAAAAAGTGCTGTGATGACATTTAGTGTTTGATATCCGTTTCACCTACACTTTATATTTTTTTTATCTATAACTGTATTTCATGGTGGGTTTGTGAAGCAAAACCAGTTTGGCTTTTTCCTTGGAATGGGATTTTTAAAGCAGGAAAAGCTCCTAATAACTAAATCCCAGAAGGAGCAGGGGACACTGGGAACGTGTTTGGAGTGGGAGGGAGGTGTCCAAGGAACACCGTGGGGTCAGCCAGCAGGAGCATCGACGCTCCTGGAGATCTTGTCCACCTGGAACGATCCCGGGATTCTGTGCTGGAGCTTTGTGATGGAGCCATCGCTCGGTTTTAATTCAGGCTGATTAATGAGTTTGATTAAATTAAATAAATGATGGCAAAGCACTGGTCGTGCTCAGGCTGGGCAAAGTCTTCCCTTGAAAGCCTCGAGCTGTGGCTGCCGCGCGTCATTCCGCAGCTCTGGAATGAAAGGTGGGATTGGGAAGGAGCTGGGAGTCGTGGGACACTCTCGGAGCTTGCAGCGTTCCCTCGGGGCACGGGGCAGGGTGGCAGAGTTCCCGAGGAGGAGTTTGGGACGTGCTGATGTTTCTGCTCCGTGGTCTCGGGGGGGTTTGCAGCTGCGGCTCGCTGTGGATGTGGGATGGGGCAGCAGCGCCCGGGGACGGCATGGGAGGTCATGGTGCCCTGTGGGAATGGCATGGGATGGGATGGCATGGGAATGGGAATGGGATGGGAATTGCCGTGGGAATGGGATAGCAATGGCAGTGGGAACGCAGTGGCAGTGGCAGTGGCAGTGGCAGTGGCAATGGCAATGGAATGGCAGTGGCAGTGGCAATGGGAATGCCATGGGAATTACAGTGGCTGTGGCAGTGGCAGTGGAATGGCAATAGCAGTGGCAATGGCAGTGACAGTGGCAATGGCAATGGGCATGGAAATGGGAATGGCAGTGGCATGGGAATGGCAATGGCAGTGACAATGGGAATGCAAGGGCAGTGGCAGTGGGCATGGCAATGGGAATTGGAATGACAATGGCAATGGTAGTGACAATGGCAATGGGAATGGCAATGGAAATGGCAGTGACAATGGCAATGACAGTGGCAATGGCAGTGGCAATGGCGGTGGCAATGGTGGTGGCAATGGCAGTGGGAAGAGCAGGGGCAGTGGCAATGGCAATGACAATGGCAATGGGAATTACAGCGGCAGTGGCAATGGCAATGGCAGCTGAAATGGCAATGGTAATGGGAAGGGCAGGGGGAGTGGGGAGTGTCATGGCAGTGACAATGGCAATGACAGTGGCGGTGGCATTGCCAGTGACAATGGGAATGGATTGTTAATGGCAGTGGCAATGGGAATTACAGTGGCAGTGACAATGGCAGTGGCAGTGGATTGTTAATGTCAGTGGCAGTGGGAATGGGAATTACAGTGGCAATGGCAGTGACAACGGCAATGACAATGGCAGTGACAATGGGAATGACAATGGCAGTGGAAATGGCAATGGCAATGGCAGAGGGAGTGGCAGTGGCAATGGCAGTGACGATGGCAACGGCAGTGGCAGTGACAATGGCAATGGATTGTTATTGGCAATGGGAATGGCAGTAGAAATGGCAACAGCAATGACAGTGGCAATGGGAGTGGCAGTGACAGTGGCAATGGCAATGGCAGAGGGAGTGGCAGTGGCAATGGCAGTGACGATGGCAACGGCAGTGGCAGTGACAATGGCAATGGATTGTTATTGGCAATGGGAATGGCAGTAGAAATGGCAACAGCAGTGACAGTGGCAATGGGAGTGGCAGTGGCAGTGACAGTGGCAATGGCAATGGCAATGACAGTAGGAATTACAGTGACAGTGACAATGGCAGTGACAGTGACAGTGACAATGGCAGTGACAATGGCAATGACAGTGGCAATGGATTGTTAATGGCAATGGCAGTGGCAGTGACAACTGCAGTGACAATGGCAATGGCAGTGGCAGTGGCAGTGACAACTGCAGTGACAATGGCAATGGCAGTGGCAATGGGAATTACAGTGACAGTGACAATGGCAGTGACAGTGACAGTGACAATGGCAGTGACAATGGCAATGACAGTGGCAATGGATTGTTAATGGCAATGGCAGTGGCAGTGACAACTGCAGTGACAATGGCAATGGCAGTGGCAGTGGCAGTGACAATGACAATGGCAATGGCAGTGGCAGTGACAACTGCAGTGACAATGGCAATGGGAATGGCAGTGGCAGTGACAATGGCAATGGCAATGGCAGTGGCAGTGACAACTGCAGTGACAATGGCAATGGCAATGGCAATGACAACTGCAGTGACAATGGCAATGGGAATTACAGTGACAATGGCGGTGACAATGGCAATGACCATGGCAATGGATTGTTAATGGCAATGGCAATGGCAGTGGCAATGCTGTGACAGTGACAATGACAATGACAATGACAGTGACAATGACAGAGACAATGCCAGTGACAATGGCAGTGGCGATGTCAATGGCAGTGGCAATGGGTTGGCTTCAGGCTGATGGAATTACGACGGCTGCAAAAGAGGTCACGACTGCAGCCGGGGCCACCACCAACGCTGTCCCCAGCCCCAGCACGTGGCGCTTGTCACCGCCACTCCTGTCCCCGTGTCCCCTCCGCGAAGGCTTTTATCCCCCTTAGTCCCCTTCCAACAACCCAGCGTGCTTGGTGGCCCCTTGGTGGCCCCTTGTCCTGCCAGGGCCAGCCCCAGGGGACACCCAGCAGAGCACTGGGTGGTCCCTTCCAAGGCAGCGGATCCCATGGATCTGGGACGGCCCGCAGCTTCTGGAACATTCCCTTCCAATTCTTCACCATTCCGTGCCTCCCTCGCTTTGCTCACCACCAAGATTTGGGTTTGTCCCTCCAAATGCTCCAGAGACCCCAAATTTCCCCCAGTGTCCTCGGCCGTGCCCGTTTTTAACGGGATTTTCCCCGTCTCATCCCAGCAGCTTTGATTCCGTTCCCGTTATTACGAGCAGAACGGGAATTTTTTGCAGATTAGCGAAGTTTACCCAACACAGCGTTAAAAGGCCTCGCTTTCAATCGCTAAGCTGTAAACATTTGGGATGAAATTTTCCATGCTGTGCATCTGACTCAGCCCGCTCCGTATTTTTTTAACCTTCCGCGGCGATGATTTCAACATTTCCTCAAATGGGATTACATTCCAGCCTGGCAGATTTGGGATTTTCTGCCTCGGTGTCTGGCACGGCGGGAACGTTAAGTCCTTTTCACACCAACTCCGTTACGGCAGCTGCAAAAGAGACACGAGGAACCGGGAGGCCAAAACTGTCCAGGAATTTCGGGGATGGGGCTTGGAGCCATTTTGTGCTGCCTTCCGAGGGAATGGTTTGGGATGGATTTTAAGGATCGCCCCATTCCTGCCACCTTCCACCATCCCAAGCTGGGCTTTTCCAGGGACTCCCCATCCTTGGAGATGATCCCAAACCCAAAACCCCACCCGGAGCTTTGAAAGCTGCTTGAAACCAGCCACAAATATAAAAAAAAATATCCCAATCAAGAGTTAATGGATTCGTTAAGTGCTGCCAGTCAGGATTGCGAGCTCTGCGGTCGCGCCGAAAAGAAATGACAAGGACATCTCCATTTCTTTGGGAAGCAGATGTATAAATAGAAACTGTCGACTGTGGCAATTCGCGTGCGGGAGAGGAGCCTTGAAATACGAGGTTGTCCTCCAGACTTTGCAGGGAAGTTTACATTCCTCGCCGTTGGGGTTTAAACAGTTCTGAAGGAGTTGTTTCGTGTGACAACCTGGAGTTGTGACATCTCCGGAGGCGCTGGGGACCTCCTGTCCCTAATCCCAGATTTATGTCCATGGTTTTGGGCTCCTGTCCATGATTTTGGGCTCCTGTCCCGAATCCAGTCTCCTGTCCATAATTCTAGGATCCTGTCCCTAATCCCAAACTCCTGTCCATGATTCTGGGCTCCTGTCCATAATTCTGGGTTCCTTTTCTTAATTCTGGACTCCTGTCCCTAATCCCAGACTCATGTCCATTATTTTGGGTTCCTGTTCTTAATTCGGGGCTCCTGTCCCTAATCCAGACTCATGTCCATAATTCTAGGATCCTGATAATAATCCCAGACTCCTGCCCATGATTTTGGGTTCCTGTCCCTAATCCCAGACTCATGTCCTTAATTCTGGGCTCCTGTCCAGGATTCTGGGTTCCTTTGCTTAATTTGGGGCTTCTGTCCTTAATCCCAGATTTATGTCCTTAATTTTGGGCTCCTGTCCATGATTTTGGGTTCCTGTCCATGATTTTGGGTCCTATCCATGATTTTGGGTTCCTGTCCCTAATCCCAGACTCCCGTCCATGATTTTGGGTCCTGTCCATGATTTTGGGTTCCTGTCCCTAATCCCAGACTCATTTCCATGATTGTGGGTCCTATCCATGATTTTGGGCTCCTGTCCCTAATCCCAGATTTACGTCCATGATTTTGGGCTCCCGTCCATGATTTTGGCTCCTGTCCATGATTTTGGGTCCTGTGCCTAATCCCAGACTCATGTCCTTAATTCTGGGCTCCTGTCCATGATTTTGGGTCCTATCCATGATTTTGGGTTCCTGTCCCTAATCCCAGACTCATGTCCTTAATTCTGGGCTCCTGTCCATGATTTTGGGTCCTATCCATGATTTTGGGCTCCTGTCCCTAATCCCAGATTTACGTCCATGATTTTGGGTTCCTGTCCCTAATCCGCCCACAATCCCAAACTCCTGCCCACTTTTCCACTAAAATCCAGCGGTTAAAAACTTCCCCTTCTCGGATTCTCGGATTTTGGGTTTCCCAGAAGTTTTTTTTGCTGCGGCTGGGGCTAGAATTCCCAAATTCAC